ATTGAAACCAAGAGGAGTAACTGTACTCTTTTTTCATTCAAATTTTGTCCCATTAAATTTTCTTGATAATATTTTAACGAGGCGAAATTTTACTATCCTAAATTTTTGTATGCTTTTTTCTTTTGTTTGATATTTTTGTCCTATCAATTTTTTTTGAATAATTACGATACAATTATTGTATAAATAGATATTGATAGGGGTGTTATAATTAAATTATTATTTATGAATGACCATTGTACCCCTACGGGCTACAACCATAACTGTACTCTATACATATGAAGCATTGATTGTTAACAAATTACACACAATAGTCTGTTGACCTCTCTTTTCTATTTTATTTTCTCTATAATTTATAATAGCTAAGAATTTATTTCCAAGATTTATTTTTAAAAATAGGGCCCTAGGGGCCACACATGGCTGATTTGGCTAGCTCGATACACGGGTTGGACTAGATTGGCCAACCTGACCCACTGTCACTCCTTCCTAAAATCAATCATGCTTGGTGTATATCATGGTGTACACCATCTTTTACACTTTATCACGTGACAATACACTATTGGACAGTTTAAAATTTGGATAGTTTTTTCATTCAATTAATTTTTGACAACACTTGTAATGTCAACAATAATGTAAGAAAAAGAGTGTGCAAATGACATTGTCCTCCTAAAATAGATGGAATTGAATTAAAAAGGAGTATATGGTTTTCTTTTCAAGTTAAATAATGATCTCTTTTATGAAATATAGATGTTTCTCTATAAATATTCAAATCACAATTCCTTAAATTATATGATGTGTTAAGCACAAGATAGATCACCAAGGCATGTTTTTCCTGGACTCAGTTTTACCAATCAATCGAAACCTCAAAGGAGAACAATCCATATCCTTTCAAATATTCCCATACTTTGGTTGCTTTGTATTACCCACGAAGGGCACACAAAGGGAAGGTGTAATAGCAGTCACAGAAGCAGCCACTAAGGCAAAGAAAAAGAACAAAAACGGTATAAGCAAATCACACAGAAAGTTAGCTGATTTTTGGTCGAATGGAAGCCAAAGAATTACACCACCTATTAACCAAGAAAGGAGATAGCATATATATAAGGCACATATTAAGTATAGTGAAAGGCTAAGCCCAATTTGACAAGTGGGTCAATATATATGGATCAATACTTATTAGCTATCCAGGAAACAGGGCACGGGCCATGAGCAACCTCTAATTAATTAGGCTACCTCCAATGACCCAAATGGTTTTAGGGTCGGTCGTTTCATTAAGGTGTCGACTTGTTTAGTCATTTGGTCGATACCGACTGAATAAATTTTACCAATTTAACATCATAGCTCAGGAGGTCATTTGACAATAATTTGCCCAACAAACCTCTACCTTGATGTCAAAGGATCTACAAAGAAAACATTATCATCCATTAGTGACAATTCCAAAAGGAAAATCAATAAAATTGGAAATTATTTACCTTTATCGATGTTTAGAAGATTTTTACAACTTCTAAACTTTACCAAGGACAACACCTAAGTGCCCATGTATGAAGAATTATAGTGTATGGACTTTTTCAAGTCTTATCACTTCTTGTGATACAATATCTCTAATGAAATGTAGTCTAAAATCAATGTGTTTGGTGCGTTCGTGAAAAATAGGATTCTTACATAAATGTCTAGAAGACTGACTGTCTAAATATACTACCACATAATCATTTAGAACACACAGTTCATGTAAAAGGCCTCTAAGCCATAAAGCTTCTTTAATAGTTTCAGTAGTAGCAATGTATTCAGATTCTGTCGTGGATAGTGCAACTATGTGTTGTAACTGTGATTTTTAACTAACACAAGAATTAGACAAGGTAAACACATAAGCAGAAGTGGATTTCCTGTTATCGCTATCCCTAGCATAGTCAGCATCAACATATCCTTTCAGTTTAACACCATTGTTATTAACACCAAATTTTAGACCTACATTACATGTACCCTTTAAATACCTTAACATCCATTATAAGCCTTCCCAGTGCTCAGGATCAGGATTAGACATATATCTACTAAGTGTGCTCACAGCGAAAGCTAAATCAGGTCTAGTGCAAACCATCAGGTACGTAACATAACCAATCACATTTGAATAAGGTATTCTACTCATGTATTCTACTTCCTTTTCATTACATGGAGTTTGATCTT